GAGGAGACCCGGGGAGGGTGGTTTGTCCCACTGCCCTAAACAGACCAGGCCTCTGAGGCCTGGTAGCCTCCCGCGTCCGCCATTACTGTGAGAGGGGGCAGGGGGAGAACTGCGCCTGCTGCGCCCCCTCGGTGCGAAACTTTCTGCAGCACAGTCCATTCAAAGGAGCTCATTTAGACCCTAGAACAACTGCGAGAGCTAGATAATGGTATCTTCCTCTTGTGGATTAGGAAACAGGCACAAGGAGGTTAAATCCACTTCCCACAGTCAGACATGTAATAACGGGTAGAGCTGGGATTTGAACTCAGATCTCTCTGACCCCAGAGCCTGAGCCCCCGTATTAGAGGGACGATGTCTTCCAGGACTGCTGAGATGGAAAGGAGGAAAGGTGAGGGGTTTGTTTTTAAATGTACGCAACATAGGTGTGAATTCCTTGAGGAGCAAGGTGAGCCCATTAGGTCACATTTGAAGTAAGACTTCAAGCCCGGGGGCTCTGTGGCAGGGAAAGCTGTCCACCAAGTTAGGGGACATTTTTTACCCTTGGCGCCAGGGAGCCAGCTCCTGGGAGCCCTGAAATCCCAGAGACATGCCCGGCCCTGATCTGGTGACCGTGCCCAAGGGAAAGGAATGAGGCAATGGCCCAGGAATGGCCCAACCCTGGCGTGGAGTGGGCTCATGTTTGTCTGAATGGCAGGTATGCCCTAGGGGAGGAGTGGGCAGAGGAGGGGGTTGGGTGAGTGAGAACCTGTTTGCTGAGGTGGTTGCCTCCTATCAATAAGAACAGCGTCCACCTTACCAATGGCCGGGACAGGAGGATGAGGTGCCTGGGACCGTAGCAAAGGATTCAGACGGGGACCAGTGGTCTGTCTCTGTTCCATTAGGACCAAAGGCCTCACCATGGTGTTAACACAGAGCTCCCTGCCTTTTGCGGAAGCCCCAGGGTCCTCATTTGATGGTCTGGGCATCTTCATGGCCACGCAGCATTTAGGAGGGCTGCTCTGTGCCGTGGGTCTGACTCAGCGGTGACTCGGGGCTTTGTTGAATGCCCCATTGTGTTTGGTGATGGGGACAGTGGTTCTGTGGATCTTAGAGCCAACATAATACATGTGTTGTTCTGTGCAAGGGATTAAGTGTGGAAATCTTACCCTCTTAGATGCAGCCTGATGGTTTTCTGGGTTTCTTTTTGCTCTGCCAGATGCATAGTCAGCAAGAATGACAAGTAATGCATTACACACAGAATGGCTTTTTCCTGTTCCCCAAACCACTCAGGCAGCACTGATGTGTTTTTGACTGTGACATTTGCTCTGGAAGTACTCATGACCACTGATGCTGCAACGGTGTTTAGATGTCACCCTTGGGTTTGCAGAAAGGGCGACAAGAAAATAGGATATGAGCACTGAGTATCCCAGCCTGCCTTTTCATCATTGTATTCATCATGTTTTTGTTAAACGCCTTCTTTGGGGTAAAGTGAACCATAGAGATGAGAGTCAATAGGCTCTGTATTCAGAACTACTGTGTGTTTAACCTCAAGCTCAGCTGCTTATAGCTGTGTGACCTGGGGCAAGTCACTTCACTTTTCTTTTTTTTTTTTTAATTTTTTTAATTTTTAATTTTTTAATTTTTTTAAAAAAGATTTTATTTATTTATTTGAGAGAGAGAGAATGAGAGACAGAGAGCAGGAGAGGGAGGAGGGTCAGAGGGAGAAGCAGACTCCCTGCCGAGCAGGGAGCCCGATGCGGGACTCGATCCCGGGACTCCGGGATCATGACCTGAGCCGAAGGCAGTCGCTCAACCAACTGAGCCACCCAGGCGCCCTCACTTCACTTTTCTGCACCTCACTTTCATCGTCAGTAAAGCTGGGACAATGTGACACCTGTACCTCTCTTTCTGGGATTGTTTAGAGGATTGAGATCCTCCATGAAAAGCTCCATACATTTTACTGATTAGTATTACGTGCTAGGCTCTAGAGATAAATGTGAGCCCTGCCCTCCTGGAACTTAAAATCCGGTTGGGGAGACAGATGTTAATTGAATAATCATGCAAGTATAAAACTACCCGTGTGCAGCTAACCTCAAATGAGACACCAGAGAAAGGTTCCTTGACGAGGCATGGATTGAGCTCCAGCCTGAAGGATGTCTGCATTTACTTGGTGAAATGGAGTAAGGAAGGCATTCTAGTCTGGTCAGAGGAAGCTGGTGCAAAATCCCTGTGGTCCTTGGGCGTGAAGGTGCTGTGGACATTTTTTTTTTTTTAAGATTTTATTTATTTATTTGAGAGAGAGCGAGCAAGAGAGCATGCACATGAGCACAAACAGACTCCCCGCTGAGCAGGAAGCCTGAGGTGGGGCTCCATCCCAGGACCCTGGGATCATGACCTGAGCTGAGTCGAAGGCAGACACTTAAACGACTGAGCCACCCAGGCGCCCCACTTTGGACATTTGAAAGATCGAAAGGAGGCCAGGGTGGCAGGGTCTCAGGGAGCAAATAGTTAACCAGGGGCAGATGACCCCTGGTGCAGAACTTTGTGGGTATGTTTAGGTTTTTACCTAATTTAAAAGCAAGGGGAAGTCACTGCAGGGTTTTAGTAGAGGAGGGACATAATCCAATCACATTTTGCAAATATCATGGGCAGACCTGTGTGATACTGCCAGCTTTTGTAGATAAGGTTTTTCTCATCCATTCATCTGTCCAACTAGCCAACATGACTGAGCACCTGCCAGGGGACAGACCGAAGAACTGGGAGCTGAATAGAGCTGTAAACTCTCACTGAACACAGCTCTCAAGACGCGGGAACAAATATGTCTTGAAGAAACCAAAGAGGCAGCAGCTGACAGTCCAGTCCCTATGTTTTTGTTTTCCACACTGACCACGAAAGTACCTCCGAAGTCAGTTTCCTTCTGGAGAAAGGGTACTATGAGGCAGTGTGTCACCTACAGGTGACTGCTGAGGCCTGCCGGCTGGGGAAGGCTTCAGTGCTGGAGGTGGGGTGGAATAGCACTCACTCAGGCCTAGTGTGTAGACGGAGAATGGAGTGCAATCTCTGAGGGATCGGGTGTGTAGTGTAGAACCAGCTGGGAGGACTTACTTCTCAAGGCAGAAGATTACTGGGGATTAGGTTATCCTGTATCAAGGTCCTTTGGGGAATGAAAGAATCACAGAGCCTTGGATGGTATCCCGTATCTTCCTTCATTCTTGCAAAAGGGACCTTTCGGGGCTCTGTTTAACACCTAGATCTCCAACACTGCAGTACGTAGGGGGCCAGACAGAACCTGCAGGGGGCCCTGTTTTCCAGCTGTGCCCGTTGTATCTGTCCCTTTGTCTATGGCTGGTTTTAACCCCTTAAAGTCTTAGAGACTTACGCTAGACTTAACTCTGCCAAATCGCTGTGATCAAGGATCAGATAAGACTCCAAGGACATGAAATATCTTTTCTTCTGGAGAAGCCTGCTCACTTGGCCCTTTCTCAGGGCTCTTAGCCCTGGAGAGACCTGTCAGGCCCAGTGAAGGAGGCCCTGGCCTGAGAAGCTAGGAGATGTGTTTTCTCATCTCAACTCTGCTAGAACTCCTGTGACCATGAGTCACTCACTTACCTTCTAGAGCTTAAAACTTCACTTAGCCTCCACTTGATCCTCTAATAATCAGGTTGTACAGACGACGACAAAGGAACTTTCAAAACAATAACGTCCTATGATTTCAACCCACAAACATCCCCATTTGTGTTATCTTTTTGTGTTATCTTTTGTATCTTTGTTTTAAAGTCCCTGCCCCAACTAGATTATAAAATTCCTTGAAAGCGGGACTCATGCCATATCCATGTTGGTACATTGGTAAAATATCTAGCAGAATACTTTTCGCATAGTAGATGCTTTAAAGATCTGTTTGATTTATTGATTATATATTTGGCAAATTTGGGAGAACCCTACACTGAGCCTAACGATGATGACTTTTGCGACTGTTCCAGAGCTGAGAACCACCATCCCTAGTGGCTGTAATTGACAGGCTGGAAAAGCGATCAAGGTGGTCAACAGATAGGCAGCCAGTGAAGGACGCTGTTACAGTGTGGCATGAAAGCAACTTGGCCTCTACCTGCAGTTCCTTTCAAGTACAGTAAAGGAAAAGTGGGACCTTAAGACAAAAGATTTACTCATCTTCCTTCACTTTGGGAATTTGAGGCTTGCCTGAGTTCTCAGGCTGTTTTCCGATTTCTGCCTTGGTATATATGTGTTGCAGAAGGGCTTTCGGGAGTTATGTCACAGTAAGCCATTACCAAATCGAGGCATTTCTGACCTTGGAAACACCCAACTCACCGTTATCTGTCAGGTCACTGGAGTTTGAACCCTGAGGCAGGTATGAGATGTTCTAATTAGTTGGTGTGTGCGTATGCATGTTTATAGCCAGTTGTCATGTCCCCGTGTCCTGTGTGTGTACATTTACGTGGTGGCATGTAACTTCACACTATAGATGCTTTGTAAATTATGTTATTTACACAGTGAACTTACGTTTTCACATTTGTGAGTCGGGTAACAACTTCAGGCTTTCATCTCCTACTGAACGCAAGTTCTTGGGGTTGTAGGGTGTAGGATTTTTCCCTCAGCCGGTCTCTCAGCTTCAGGTTAATGGATTCAGTGACATGAAAAATTCAGTGAAGAAAAATTCAACGTTGTTTTATTCTACTATAGAGATATGGAAGTATGGGAACCATTGTTCATTAGTCTGCAGCTAGAGAAGAGCCAGCCTGCATTGAGAACTCCAACTATAATATTTTTCAGTAGGTAGTGATAGTTAGCGAGGTCAGGGATGTGTTGTCAATCAATAAAAAGAGTTGAGTTGTCAATGAAAAGAAAGATCTCTCAGGTGTTTTGAGAGGGGGAAACAATCCCTGTTTGGGTTTTAAAGAGGACTGGAAGTTAGGGTTTATGTTTCTTATCAGGAGTCTCTCTAAGTTTATGCTGTCGATTCTTGGCTGTTGGAAACTGTGATTGATTGTCTCTGTCTTCTATAGCTTGGAATTGCAATTGGGTTCTTGGTCCCTCCTGTTTTGGTACCCAACATCGAAGACCGGGACAAGCTTGCCTACCACATCAGCATCATGTTTCACATAATAGCAAGCGTGGCTACTCTGCTTTTCATCCTTGTCATCATCGGTAAGGTCGTTAGTAGACTGATGGGGGGCCAGGAGGCAGGGAGGTTCTGCTGACTTGGGTGGGGACCTTGTGAACATGGCCTTAGAATACCATGGACATTGGGCGCCTGGGTGGCTCAGTTGGTTGAGCGACTGCCTTCGGCTCAGGTCATGATCCTGGAGTCCCGGGATCGAGTTCCGCATCGGGCTCCCTGCTCAGCGAGGAGCCTGCTTCTCCCTCTAACCCTCCCCCCTCTCATGTACTCTCTCTCTCTCTCATTCTCTCATTCTCGCTCTCTCAAATAAATAAATAAATCTTTAAAAAAAACAAAAAAGAATACCATGGACATTTATAGAAACTGGAGGCCAGGCTTCTAGTGGTCTTCAAATGTCTTAGCCAACAGAGTGCTAGCTGGTCTTGTGTCCTTTGTTAGCGGCTCAGTAAAGATTTAATTGTAATTAACCAGTTCCCCAATAAAACCTCACCGGAATTAATGGGCAGGCTCTTGATCCCTGTGATGAAACCCCACTGAGTGCTTATGGTATATACCACAGACACTGTGCTAAGCATGCGTGATCTTGAATCTTGAGTGAAGTTTACCATCATCAATCCCACCAATCCCCTCTTTCCCACAAAGAGGAAAATGAGACTTAAGGGGAGTTAAGTCAATTATTCGAGATTAGTTAGCTAGTAAGTGGCAGAGATTGCCTAACCCTGTCTAACTCCATACTCTAAATTTCTGGAACAAACCAAAATAAAACAGAATTGGCCCACAAACACTTAATACTCTCATAGATTCATCTGAGAGTACCTGGGGACCACATCTTTTGAGGCTTTTTTAAAAAACTATGAGAGGAATACATGCTCATTATGGACAAATCTGGAAAATACGAGAAAGCATAAAGAAAAGAATAACTTGGGTGCCTGGCTGGCTCTACCAACTGATCTCAAGGTCATGAGTTTGAGCCCCATGTTGGGGATAGAGGTTACTTCAATAAATAAATAAAATAAATAATTAAAATAAAAAGGAATAACCATTAATTTAGACTGTACCAGTTAAACCCACCAGCAGCCTCAGATAACTACTATTAATTTTTATGTGCATGTACATTTGATCATTGAGATATTGGTTAATATATTTTATATCCTCTTTTATCATCTGAGTGATACTACATGTGCTGTGATAAATTCAGAAACAGTATAGTAGAGGCTTTTTCATTTTCAGTTAGTCATTCGTCTTTAAAGGTTAACCAGCTTTCTTCCTAACATTCCATCCCACGTGGTAAAGGTCTCATTCTTCCCTGCTATCCTCACCTCCAGAGTCAGAACAGTTTTATGATCGTGCACCCCATTCCACTGTTCTCACCGAGGCATTCTCTCCCTCGGGGTCCAAGATGAGAAAGTCTGATGGCTTTTCAAAGCTGGCAGGAAATGTTGGGCAGAGGACTTGCTGTTTCTGGGAAGGGGAGAAGCTACGGGGGAGAAGCTACGGGGCTGTGGATAGCCGCAGGAAAGAACAGTCTGCCCAGGGACCCTCTTCCTCAACCAGACCTTAAGTTTCAACTTGTAATGTGCCCAGCTTCAAATGCCTGTGCTAAGAGCAGATGAGGGTGTGGTTCTTTGCATCTGACATACCGAAGGTAAGACATTTCTACATTTTGACATTTTATTATCAAGCCAGAGAGTGGCTAATTGAGTAAAGAACTGAGAAATCTGATCTGAATTCTGGTTTGTGGTGGCCAGGCCCTTGAACAAACCAGAGAGAAATAGCCTCTTGCCTTGCTTTCTTTCCCCTGCTGCAAGGGGAGGTGAACGGGCAAGACAATGGATGAGTGGTTTCCAACGGCAGGAAGTAATTCAGGACTATTTCTGGAGAAGGAAGAAGCAGGGCTCTGAAGTTAGGGCTGGAAGGGTTTCTGGGTGGGGGACCTCTTTGATCTTCAAGAGAGTAAACCTCATTTCCAGAGCTTCCTCTAACTGGAAACAGTCTACTGACCTTTCAGGAGTGTTCTCATGGTGTGTGGAGAAGGCTACATGGAGCTTGCCTGGATCCAACTTCGGGGGCAATTTAGCCAAACTACTGGTTACACTTATCTGCCCCCAGAACCTGAACAGTGACCAATGCCATCAAATTGATTGTACCAGCTGTGCTGAAAATCGAATATAAAATGAATGGGTTTCATTCCCTTCTGTCCTGTCCCTCCCCAGTCCTTCATATCACAGTGACCACTCCTGCAGGGTATGTGTTAATTCTCTTGTCTCTTCAGGAGGCAGACATTAGACTCAGACTTTGACAAACTAGGAATGGACTTGAGGTTTTTTCAATAGAAGATCTTTTCACTTATTTAGGGAATATTCCTTGGCTGCATTGTGCCAGGCTCTCTGCTAAGCAGGGACACCGTCCCTGCCCCCTCGGGAGGAGCTCTGGTGCTAAGCCATTCACTGGGCTCACTAATCCCAAAACCTCAGCTCTCGCTTCCTTTCTAGCCATGTATTACTATTATATTAGTTTCTGTGCTCTGCGGAATGTTATTTGCTGATTTAGTATGGAACTCCTTGATCCTTGAACACTGCCTGGGAGACCCAAGGAGTGCAGCCATTGAGAGGCCATGAAGAAAAAGTAATTAAAAGACCTCACTCAGTCACAGGTGGTGAGAAACAGTTTCAAGAAAGGAGGGGTTGAAGGATTTAATTGAAGAATTAATATTTCCTTTTCGAGTCTTAACTTCTTCTAGATGAGGGAGCCAGCTCTTGTCCATGTGTCAGCTCTGCAGGGGTGGGGTCATGGGGATTTGCAGTGATCTCTCTGTTCCTTTCCTTTCAGTATTCAAGGAGAAGCCTAAACATTCCCCCAGCAGGGCCCAGTCCCTGAGTTATGCCTTGGCATCCCCTGATGCTTCGTACTTAAGTTCCATTGTCCGGATCTTCAAAAACCTCAACTTTGTGCTGCTCGTCATCACCTACGGTAAGGTGCACATGTGTCCAGGAGTGTATTTAAATTGGGAATGTGAGACAAGAGACCTGATGTGTCTATGTGTCTTACTCTTTCCAAATCCCAAATGTGTATATAAAGCTATTGCTCAGGGTCAACCAGAGAGTCAGCTGTACCTCAGGGCCTTTGCATGTTCTGTAAAGTTCACCTAGAAAACCATTCCTCCCCATGTCAAGTTGTCTGACAAATGCCTGCTGATCCTCCAAGTCTCATCTGAGTATCACTGCTATAAAGGTGACCTTTACCTCTTTTATTATGCTGTTCCTGGTACATCTTAACACTGAACCATTAAAAAAAAATTTTCCAGGTCTGTCTTGCCCCTAGACTGTGAACATCCCAAGAGTGGGGATTTATGGCTTTTCATTTTTATAGTTCCTCAGCAGTGGCCAGCCTGGAGTGGACACTCTAACAGTTATTTAGTGAATGAATGAATGAATGAATGAATGAATGAATGAATGAGTGCCTGTATGAGTCTTGCCACATAAACCACTCCTCAACCAATCCTCTGTCATTTTGTAACACTGACTCCTTTTTACCTGAATGCAAGACAATATCCCTCTTTTATTTCACTTTTTTTGGCTTTTGGTAAGATACATTTGAATATTTATGCATTAAAAATTTTTTTTAAGATTTTATTTTACTTATTGTAGAGAGGGAGAGAGAGAGAGAGAGAGAGAGAAAAGGTACATGAGCAGGGGGAAGAGCAGAGGGAGAGGGGAAGCAGACTCTCTGCTGAGCAGGGAGCCCGAAACAGGGCTCGATCCCATGACCCCCAGATCATGACCCAAGCTGAGACCAAGAGTCAGACACTCAACCAACTGAGCCACCCAGGTGCCCCTACTAGTTAGTTTGTTTAAAATCAAGAGTCAACAGTTGTGTAACATGCTTCGTAACCATAAGAAAAAAAGAAACGAGGTTGGTTTGATGTAATTTATGCTTACTGAAACCCCAGTTGGCTATAACCTTGTTTTCTGTACAAACCTTGTATTTTCTGTACAAAACCTTGTTTTCTGTACAAACCTTGCATTTTATGTAAATGTATTTACAATAGCATTTACTATGTGCCAAGACTTTTCATATATGATTTTATTTATTTAACTCTCACCACACCCATGTGAGGTAGGTACCATAGTTATCCTTTTTCAACAGATGAGAAAACTGAAACTCAAGACAGGCTAAGTAGCTCAAGAAGACACAGCTTTGAATTGGCAGAGCCAGGATTCAAATACAGGTTTATCTAACTCCAAAGATTACACAATTAATGCCTATGCCCCTTTGTAGAACTGTGCCAGAGTTTCATGTTAGGCTTATCATGCTCTTTATCTAAATTAGAGTGTTTATCTGCTGAGGCACTAGACAAGAGGTAGTATCATCCACAGGAGAGGGGCACGCCTATTTTTCAGGCACTCACAAAAATAAGTGATCTCTCACCCGGAAAAGTGCTGGATGAGCAGATTAATCTTCAAGGTCTCAGGTCTCTGTTTCTCATTCTCTCCAGCTTTTCAGTTCTGAGTATGTCTCTGCCTTCACCCACAATATAAAGACAGAGTTTCCAATACTTAAGATATCCAACTAAAGAAGTTATGTGAGTTGCCCATCAGTGGGAGGCATTCAAGTGTAGATGGGACCAACTACTTAGTGGGGATATTGTGGAGAATGTCAGGCTATCTAGATGGATAATAAAGCCACATGACCTTTGGGATCCCTTGCAGATTCAGTATGGCGTGGCTCTGAGAACTTTCACTTTTCCTGAGTTAAACATCTCAAGTGCATTGACCTTTGAACGCCATAACTCTTATTGCATCTGACATCAGGGTATTTGAGGCCTACTTTGGGATTCTAGGGCAGATGAGTGCTTAATAAATATTTTCTATGGATGAGAATGAGGATAGTGGTGATAACTGGGCAATGATCCCAGTCTAGAGGTGGGGGAGAAAAGCAACTCTTCCTCTTCCCCTCTTGCATGGCTGGTTGCTTATATGGTCTTTAATTCGGCAGAGTGGTTTTAATACTATACTTCTGGACATTCATCTATTTGGTTAAATGATAACACAGGAAATAAATAGGGAAGCACTTCTGGAATGGTAGAGTGAGGACCTTGAATAATTTGTTCTTCCGTAAAGCAACAAGTACACTGGCAAACATTGTCAAAATCAAATTTTCAGAACTCTACAACAAAGGTTTGCAACAATCCAAGGGACATTTATTCAAGAAAAAAATGGCTGAATAATGGCAAGCACAGTGAGCTTTGTGTTTTAACTTGCCCTATTCCGATCCACCTCTCCCAGTCTCTGTGGTAGCCTTGACAACCAGCAGCCTAGCAGCCATGGTAGTTGTGAGAACCAGCAGCCTCACAGACACTTGATGGGGCAAAAACAATTTTGGACCTCCCCCAAAAGCCCCATTCCTAGGTCATTATTTGATATCTGACAGTTCTCTAGAAGAGCCCCATTCAGAGGACTTGCTTTTATTTAACCTGACTCAGAGCTTGCTCTGTGGGAAAAGCACTATTTCCAGGGCATTTGTTGAAAACAATCACTGTTTAGCATTGTAGCTGCCTAAGGTAGAATACCAGTTGGGGTAAACAGGAAGCTGGCCAAAAATCTTGAAACAAAAATCTAGAGAATGAGATGGTCATCGGGGCTTTGAAAAGCTCTGACATATTCTTAGGAATCTAGAAGTCCATGTCTACATTACCAGGAAAGACCTGACAAAGCCCTAAACTCTCACCTCTGGCTGACCTTGAGGCTCTGTGCAAGGAGGAAGTGAAGGCTAAGGCAGAGTTGACACCTGCCTGCTGGAGCATTGAGGGAGAAGCCCAACCCCCACACAGAGGAGGTCCTTGGCAAAGGTGGAGACTTACTGGTTTAAGGTATTTAAGGGAATCTCTGTCTAATCATTACCTCACCACTAACTGATGAAGCAGAAACTTCAGCAGCTGCACATGACAAAGAATACAAACTTTACAAAATTAGTCCAGGAGAGTCACAAATAGCAGCAACAGCAACAAATCCTGAGGAGGGAGGAGAATCTCATTTCCAAAGTTGACATGGTATTTAAAATGTCCAGCTTTACTAAAAGACTATGAGACATGCAAAGAAATAGGAAAGTAAGACTCATACACAAGGGAAAAAAAGCACTTAATAGAAACTCTTCCTGAGGAAGCCCTGACGTTAGACATAATAAAGATTATAAATCAACAATATAAATATGTTCAAAGAACTAAAGAACCCATGCCTAAAGAATGAAAAAAAGGTGGAGAATAATGTCTTACCAAATAGAGAATATCGATAAAGACAGGAATAAAAAAGAACCAAATAGAAATTCTGGAATTGAAAATACACTAACTAAAATGGAAAACGCCCTGGAGGGCTCAAAATCAGATTTGAGCTGTCAGCAGAAAGAATCAGTGAACTTGAAGATAGATCAAATGAAATTATCCTGTCTGAGGAACAGAAAGAATAAAAAATGAAGAAAAATAAGCCGAGCCCCTGAGACCTGTGGGAAACCATGAAGCAAACCAACATATGCATAACGGTAATCTCAGAAGGTGAGGAGAGAAAGGGTGGAAGTAAGTTGTCATTTAAACTGGGATAGCGTTAGCCAGAAAAGCAATTCTCTTCTGAGTCTCTAGGAGCATTTGACTCCATTGTATAGATAGAATTAATTAATTTTTTTTTCCTCAAAGGCCTGGGTTTATTCCAGTGAGAGAGAGTTAAACTAATCTGGATGTTTGCATATAGTTCATTATAGTCAGAAAACTGCAAGCCTTTTTCCATGATAGATAATTGGACTTGATGACTAAGCTCTTGACCAACAAGGAAATGGTTTTTAGGCTTAATCATAGATTTGGAAAGAATTTTATTGAGCCATTACTGTGTGTCAGGTACTATGTTAAGTGCTTTACATGGATTATCACATTTAATCTTCAAAACAAACCCATGACATCAGTTCTTAACTCCATTCCATTTTATATATGAGGAAGCTGAGGCTCTATTTAGTTCTGTGCCCACAACTGGAAAGCTAGCAAGCAACAGAGCTTGGATTTAAACTTCTGTCTGTCTGATGCCAGAGCCCATCTTCCTGACCGCCATGCCATTTTTGCCTCCCTATGGAGAAAGGAACATCTTAGAGACAGAGACAGAGCTCTTTTAAGCCCCACTTGTCTGAGTGGTCTTTGGGTCTACCTAGGGGAGTAAGTAAGTCCTTCTTCAGATTCAATCCTCCAGACCAGTTGCCTGGGAGTTGCCTTCTCCTAAGATGCAAATCTACTAGAGTTCCGGGGTTTTTGAAGCAGGATCAACTTATATTGACCAGCCATCTATGGGATTTAGAAAGGATGGGGTCTTGACTTTAGCGTCTCTCTAAGGCTTAGAGGTCATGTAAAGGCAGTGTTTGGGACTCAGTCCACCTAAGAATCACTGCTCTCTTCCAAATTAAATCTTTGCTTCCAATTACAAACAAAACCCTCTATAAATTCAGCTAGATGCTTTGAAGCTCTCCAGAATGTCCCCCATCCTTCCTGCAGTTTCAGGTTGGGCTTTGAAGAAGGAAATAATTCATACTTTTTATATTGTATATATGATGTTCATATTTTCCTCTGAATTATATGCACTTAAGAGCATGTGGCTTGAATCGAGCAGATGACAGCCTTTCACAGGCACATTTGCTGGACATGAGTAAATACATCTTTGAGTAAGAGCCTTGAATGCTGGAGTGGTGAATTCAGAGTTGGCCCATAAGGAATAAGAAATCTGAGTTTTGATGTCAGCTCTGCCAATTACTGAGTGTACCTCCTTCACCCATCCTTTGCCCATGAAATAATAATCTCAGAAAATAAGAAGTAAATTTGCTTTCCATTGGAGTGCTCTGAGTGGAGATGAAAGCTTTTAAAGCAATTGCAAGTAGATGCTGCATGAATCCACATTGCTGTTGCATTGGTAAACTTGATTTCCTACATTATTTTGTTGGTCTGAACTGGATTTCACCAAGTAGGGAGTAGCTCCCATGTAGCTGGTGGGATGTCCAGTACTGTCTTTTTAGTGGCTTTCCAAGTGCTTCTCCAAACTGCTGAGTCAGCTGCCCAGAGTGGAGCCTGGTGAGGGCTTTGGAGGAATTCCAGGGGCTTTTACTTGTAGGCCTGTGGTTATACCCTTAGTGGTAGGTTTGAGAGATAAAATTAGGGCTATCCAGCTAAATTTGAATTTCAGGTAAACAGCACATTCTTTTCAGCATAAACGTCCCATGGAGTATTGGGGGCATATTTATGCTAAAAAAGTGTTACCTGAAATTCAAATTGTAACTGGATGGGTTGTTTTTGTTTTTCTTCTAAATCTGGCAGCCCAACTTAGAGGGGAGGGGACAGAGATGGGGTTTGTGTTTGATGTTGCTGAAATATTACAGGAATAAAAAACTGCCTCTTCCTCTAGTAAAATACCACCACCACCCACCCCTTCTCCAGGTTTGGCAATGCAGGAAGACCCAGGGCTGGAACCATCCTCTCTCCAGGTCTGTCAGAGTCTGGGGGCAGGACGGGTCTTAGGATGTGTATCAGCAGAGGTGGGAGGGAGTGTGGGGTAAGAGAATAACCTTTCTTTGGCTACCTTCTCCTTGAGTCTCTAGGCCCTGCTTTCACATGGCCTCCTCTACTGCCTTATCATCAATGGCGCAACAATTGCCATGTTGAAAAAAGTTGTTGAAAAGGCTCCTCTTCTAAAGAATGTCCTCAAAGGGAATACTTTTCCATGTTATCCCCCAGCCTGGCCTTCAGCTATGCTTCTGAATAATCTTCCAGTAGTGGGCATCCAAACTCAGAGCCCAACACTAGAAGATTATCACCTTCCCTTGGGGCTTTCAAGGGCTTTACTACTGCCCACCCTCCATGGGTTTAGGGAGGGTGATTGTGCCCCCTCTCAGATCCTGCTTGGGAGTGGGCATAATATCCTTCTTGTAATTTCCTGGATCTTTGCTGCGGTGAGGCTGGCCCTTTAAAATGAAGGTTTAGGGCGCCTGGGTGGCTCAGTCGGTTAAGCGACTGCCTTCGGCTCAGGTCATGATCCTGGAGTCCCTGGATCGAGTCCCGCATCGGGCTCCCTGCTGGGCAGGGAGTCTGCTTCTCCCTCTGACCCTCCCCCCTCTCATGTGCTCTCTCTCATTCTCTCTCAAATAAATAAATAAAATCTTTAAAAAAAAAATAAATAAAATAAAATGAAGGTTTACTACACATTCAGGAAGGACCCAAGGGAAATGAACACAGAATATCCAGAACCCAGAGATAGGATCTGGGATCAGTGTTTCCCAAGCTTGCCTGATGATAGACTCCCCTGGGGTGCTTGGTTGAGTGCATGACTGGATTTCCCTGCCTTTCTTCTAGAAATTCAGTTTCAGAAAGTCTGGGTAAGGGCCTGGGAATCTGCTCTTAAAAAGCATTCTAGGTGATTCTGGTTTGCAGCAGGGTTAAGCATATCTAAAGTAGGTGTGTTATGGGTCATTCTCATGGTCTTGAAGCCCCTTCCCATCCCAGTTGCCACCATGTTAACCCCAGCACCTGGGAGCCCAGGCCTGGTCTTGGGTCTTCTGGATTCCCAAGGTCATTTATTTCTGAACTCTACTGAGTCTAAGAAATGACCAGGGTTGTTGTTGTTATTGTTGTTGTTGTTTAAGTGGGCTCTACACTTGAACTCAAGATCCTCAGATCAAGACCTGAGCTGAGATCAAGAGTCAGACGCTTAACCGACTGAGCCACCGAGGCGCCCCTGTTATTGTTGTTGTTTTTTTTAAAATATTTTATTTATTTATTTAAGATAGAGACAGAGAGAGAGAGAGAGAGAGAGAGAATGTTTGAGCGAGTCGCGGGGCGGGGGAGTGGCAGAGGGGGAGGGACAGGGGCAAGAAGACTCCCCACTGAGCATGGAGCCCAACACGGGGCTCAGTCTCATGACCTGGAGATCATGACCTGAGTCGAAATCAAGAGTGTGACACTCAGCTGACTGAGCCACGCAGGTGCCTGCTGTTATTTTTAAATTACAGATTCCTAGCTCCATTCCAGGAGAATCAGATTTAGTAGATCCAGGGTGGAGCCCAGGAATCTGCATTTTTAAACTCCTGCACTTAACTTTGTGTCTCATTTCTGTGGGAACCTGATAAAGGGAGTAAGTGAATGGCATTTAGGCAGCATCTCGTATGATAAAGATGACCTCGTGATAAAAGTGACTATCTGGACTGGGGGACGTTTTCGTATCTGGTAGGAGGCCATTCTTTGTGCTTCTCTGAGTATGGTGACTCTTTTCACTGACCTGTCCTCTAGGGGGCCCCCAAAGCTATGCCTGTGGAGATGCTACAAGCAATAGTCGCTCCTGTAAGGTGTTAAACCAGGGTGGTTGCCATACCCACATTGCCCTGCACCTGTGCCATCACCGTGGGGCCAGAGGATAGCTTCTGGATGGTTCCACGGTCTGGGGTTCGTGGGAGAGGAACCCCTGAGGCTGCCCTGCTCTCAAGCTGTGTCCTGTTACTTAGAGTCTTCTAAGTGTATCTAATGTTGTGTGCCGTGATGGTCTTGTGAGCCTCAAAATTAGTTAAAATTAAAAAGACCCCTGGTGAACATTATAAAGTGACTTTCTGTATTTGTTTTTAAACTCTGTGCATTTTTCTCATCTATAAAATGGGGATGATAATATTACCTACCTTGCTATGAGGATTGTAAGGTACTTACAACAGTGTCTAGTACATAAGTATGTGCTACTGCCACCCTCCTCCTCTCCACCCTCCTCCTCACCATCCTCCTCCTCACCATCCTTCTCACCATCATCCTTCTCACCATCATCCTCCTCACCATCCTCCTCACCATCATCCTTCTCACCATCATCCTCCTCACCATTATCCTCCTCACCATCATCCTCCTCACCATCCTCCTCACCATCACCCTCCTCACCATTATCCTCCTCACCATCATCCTCCTCACTATCATCTTCCTCACCATCCTCCTCACCATCATCCTCAACATCAACATCAGCATCTTCATCCTCATCCTCATCCTCATCATCGCCGTTGGGTCAGTTCCAGTCTCATCTTAGCTATTAGCTGACTGTATAGCTATGGACAAATGGCCTCATGGATTCTTACAGTATATTCTAGGTGCTCCATTTATTCGTTGGATGAATTGATGAGTTAGGAGAGTCAGCTCAATGCTCTTTAGGGTCCTTTCTGGTTTCAGATATAAGATTTTGTGTGATATTGGACCAAGAAGAAAGCTGAAGGAGGAATGGGGACAGAAAAGAGAAACCACCCACAGAAGGAGTGATGTGGGGGTCAGAGGCCTGGAGCAGTCTGGAGAGGGAACAGGTCATCAGGAGGAGATGAAGGTGTCCAGTAGTTCTGCTGACCCTGTAGGTCAGTAGGTCAATGCTTGAGAAGAATGTAGATGGTTCCGACCTGGGAGTAATGCTTTCTAGAGCCTTGTTTCCAGGGCAGGCTTAAAGGGATCAGAGGGCAGTGGTGTGGGCTAAGAAATGGTTAAAATGGTTACTTTGGGTTGTTTTGGAGTCTTTGACAGAAACTGCAGAGTAGCCTCCTATTTTCTGAGGACACCACTCACAATGGCAACAAGGATGAGGATTTCTGACCTCCCTACCTGCCAGGGGGAGAAGTTAGCAATGGCCCCAGCAGAAGGCTGTTCCTAATGCAGTGTGTCTCCCTCTCTCTTTCAGGTCTGAATGCTGGTGTTTTTTATGCCTTGTCCACTCTGCTGAATCGCATGGTGATCTTGCACTACCCGGTAAGGTAGTCCCGCGAGCATGCTGGACCTGAAGAGCGTGAGATTTCTGTCCATCTCAGCAGGACCTGGGGCAGCAGTTAGCTCTAGTCTCCCCGCCGCCACCCCCCCCCCCCCCGCAGTTCTAGGCAGCGTGGTATGGTGGTATGCTTATGGGATTTGGAGGGAGACCGCCCTGGATCTCCTCTGGCTCTGGTGCCTCTAAATTGTGTGACAAGCTGGTTAGCCTCTCTGAGCTCTCATTCTCCTTCCTGCAACAGAAACATAATTACTTATTGAAAGATTATTTTTTAGGATTAGAAAGTAAATAATACTATGTATGTGTGTGTGCATATATATATATATATTCATATGCTCCATGTATGTAAAGCACATGGCGTGGTGCCTAGCAATACAGTAGGTAAACATACAGACCTATAGATCATGTATGAAAGATTTAATTTGTAAAATAGGGGCAGAGTTTAATTTTGAATTCTTAGTTGCTCGACTGAAAGCATTTCTTTTTTTTTTTAAAGATTTTATTTATTTGTCAGAGAGAGAGGAGAGAGAACACACGAGGAGGGGGAGGGGCAGAGGCAGAGGGAGAAGCAGGCTCCCTGCTGAGCAAGGAGACCGATGCGGGACTCCATCCCAGGACCCTGGGATCATGCCCTGAGCTGAAGGCAGAGGCTTAACCGACTGAGCCACCCAGGCATCCCTGAAAGCATTTCTTAAATATTTCCAGAACCAGCAAGGGCTGGATCCTGGGAGTGGGATACTATGTGTCCTGGAGTCGGGAATCCCAGGTCCAACCCCCTTTTGAAAGGACAAGGGTCTCACACTTGCAGAAGTGGTAGGCCACTGTGGCTAATGTGTTCCAGTTTTGGAGTTTGATAGGTCTGAGTTCAGATCCTAGCTCTGCACTTAATAAATGCCACACGACCTCTGGCTAGCAGGTTAATCTCACTGTGCCTCAGTTTTTTTCATCTGTAAAGTGTAGAATATTGATTTCTAACCTTATGGTGGGGAATTTTGAGAAGTAAATGAGATGATATAATGGTTATCTTCCCATTCCTTTTGGCACCAATAGCTCAAAAAAAAAAAAAAACCAAACAACTAAGTACAGAATATTTGGATATATGTATTTCGGTCTCCCCATTTGTGAAATGGGGATAATGATAAATAAGATAAAAGGGTTGCCGTAAGGATTAAATTTACAAAGATCTACTTCAAATTGGGTCTAGGACAGTTTGGTTGACCTCAGCATCCAGGATCATGCGCACACATCTGGGTTATATTAGATTGGGAGGAGCAACTATTCTAGGAGTCTCTCTCCACTGGCAGCTTCTTAAAGGCCATCTTGCCCTGGTACGTTCAGAGAATAGGCTCTAATGGAGCCTGAGTTACTTGCCTTTCCCCTGTCACCTCTTGGTGACTGTGCTCTGTCTGGTGTCTTGTCCCGTTGCTGGGTGATCACTGGGGCTGTGGTTTTCCCAGGGGGAAGAAGTGAATGCTGGAAGAATCGGCCTGACCATCGTCATTGCAGGAATGCTTGGGGCTGTGATCTCAGGCATCTGGCTGGATAGGTCCAAAACCTACAAGTAAGTGACCTCCTCTTGGACTGAGAATTGGGGACCCATGTTTTGAAATGACACATTCCTCGGCAATATGACTCCAAAGGGTTGGGTGCAGCAGCTGGGGGTCTCAGTGGTCTTCACATTTATCTTCTCTAAGCCTCAGTTTTTCCATTTATAAAATGAGGGAAATAGTACACATTCCGTGGGGGATCTTGATGAGATTAGAGATGGAGGACAAGAGGCCTAGCACAGTACTCTTCCCCATTGCCCCATGTAGTTTGCAGAAGGGGCAAATGAGGGAGAAATGAAAATGAATGTAGAAAAATGCCAGCAGTTGGAAAGCTTATGGAAACCCCAAAGAGTGGCAATGAGGAAGTGATCCCCTGCCCCATTCCCCTGGCTCCTAGGGGCTAACCAAGGTGTCTGGGCTTCCTCTGGCTTACACTGTATCATCTTGCAACTGCTTATATCTCCTTCGTGAATATTGTGATGTGCTTTGGGCCTGAATGCCCAGTGTGTTTCCAGGAGCTCAGAGCAGTCTTTCTAAGATTTTGGTGTATGCCAGGCTAACCCAGGACGCTTATCAAAAATAGATTCCTGGCCCCCATCCTCATGGATGCCAGTTCAGTGGGGGAAACTGCATTTGTAAAGAGCAACCCACCCAGGTGCCTCAAGTCAATAGCCAGGCTTAGAAAAAGGCTCTGGAGAATGGAGACCCAACACCCTTCCCTTCTTGTTGCTCCTTTCCAGTGCTGAGCATGCACTGGGTGCTCAATTAATACTGGTCAACTGGGTAGCTGCCAGGTTTGTCCTACACTGGGGCAGGGCAGCTGCTTTGTTGAGGCCTCCAAAGCTCCCCGTGTCTGGAGGCGACAGACAGTGGCAGACCTGTTCTCTGCCACACAAACCCGCTTCTGTGAGGCTCTGGTTAGACCAGGTCTCACTCTGGCTGCCCCAGACAAAGGCCAGTTGAGGTCATCCCTGGGGATGTGGTTGCCTGGCTGAACGCGACGTGGAGCCTGGCGTGGCTTAATGACTGCTGGCGGAGCTTGGCTGCCATCTCGTCTCTGCCATCTATCTGTCAGTGGCTTGCTTCGGCCAGGCCCGAGAGCAGTGAGGACTGGCCACCCCCAAACCGGCGAACAGCAGTGTCCCTTCTCCCAGGGCTTGCTCTATGGCGGGAGAGGGGAAGGATTGGAACGACAGCTGGGCTGGGATGTGGGCAGCCAGATGGCTGAGAAGAACTAGAAAATATAGGGAAAGGGCTGAGGGCACACTTCAGAACATAGACGCCACCGTTTGCTGGCATCACTGATGTCTAACTCAGGCCTTCAGCATGAGATGCCCTTCACCCTGCGCTACGACCCGGACAGAGAAAGGATGCTCTGTGATCAGGGCATTTTGGTGCCCATTCTCTTCTCCCCGTGGCTCCCAGATTTGTCCCGTTTGGTTTGGGGGCTGGAAATTGGGTGGGTCATATCCCGTTATTTGAGGCTGGGACTACTTACAGTTTTTCTAAATGGGCCAGTGGTTTAACATGAAGCTATGGTTAAGCAAATACAGCAAAAGAGGGGCTTGTGTGGCCGGCAAAAGAAACTGGTATCCATGAAGTTGCCTTCTGCGGGGTGGGTGGGACCAGATGAGGGTGCAAGATGGAGGACGAGGAAGCCCCTCTGCCTTCAGCAGCTGCTTTGAAGCCCCAGGTGGGAGGGGCATCCTCTGCAGCCTCTGGCTTTGAGCTTTCCCGAAGATGCAAGCCTGTAGTGTGTCCGTGTGTATTAGTGTATTAGGTCCTGTGTGCAGCAGTAGAAAGAGCAGCGTAGGTTTCAGATCCCAGCGCTGGGTCCAAATCCCAGCTCTGCATTTACTCATTGGGTGATTCTGAATAAGTAACTTAATTGGTCTGAGCCTCAGTTTCCTCATTTGCAAAATTAGGGATAGTCATCCTTTTCTTGCAGGACTTTTGTCAGGCTTGAGTGCAATAAGAAATGCATGCGAAGTGCTTAATAGAATTCCCAGCACCCAATAAATGCGGGATTAGTTTGATAAAACCACAGTGTACGTCTGCTGGCGCCCCCACCGTGTTTCTTGTTTCAGGGGGGATGCGTGAAGGCTTTCAGCTTTCAGCTTTCAGCTTTCCGTCTCTGAGTCCTCATTTTGTGGCAGGCGGGCAGAGGGATGTGCGGAGCCCGCGGCCTGCCATAAGCAGGACAGGGAGAGGAACACAAGTCCAGCTGCAGGGCTGAGGCTGCAGCAGAGTCACGAGTGGGCAACATGGGAGGAGAAATGTGGGGAGGGGTGCAAGCAGGGTGAACCCCAAACAGAGAGCAGCAGGCTGCTGATGGTCCGTCTGAGGGGACCGGCAAAGGGGAATGTCACGGGGAGTGGGCAGAGCTTTCTCGCTTTGGCTTGGGAGTCAAGCGCTTAGTTCAGGGCTGGAGAATGTTCTCACTTACTTTCTGCTGCCTGGAGCAGAGTAGTTCAGGTTCGGTGAAAAATCTGTGCTGCACCTGCACCAGTGGCAACAGGAAGAACCTCGAGATGACAGAGAATCTGAAAGTCAGCTCACTGCCCAGCATGGCCATGGGCTCTTGGGGCAAAGCAGACCAGCAGAATGAGGTGGCTTCTGGGATAGTCCCACACGCCATGCTGCCTGACAGTAGCTGATACTTGTTCTGTGTTTATTTGGTGGAGGACGAGGAAGGGAGAGGGTTGTGCCCTTCTTGCTTGGGCTGCAGCTTGATATTGTTGAAAGGGTTCTGCAGGAGTCGAACACACGTATGTAGCAAGAAGGCTTCATCCTCTCCTGAGCCTCCCCTTTGTAGCACTGGCCAAAGTGTAATTAAGTAACCATTTGTGTGATCATTGGTTCAGTGTCCATCAACCTCATGGACAGAAAGTTCTGAGAGCAGATGTCCCAGCACACAGCAGAGGGCTTGGCACATAGCAGGTGCCCAATTGATACTTGTATAATGAATGGATGGATGGATGAATGAATGATCTTGTTACAGTCAGAAGTGTATGACTCAATGTCTTTGCCTCTGCTTGTAGGGAGACAACCCTGGTGGTCTACATCATGACCTTAGTGGGCATGGTGGTGTACACATTGACCTTGAACCTGGGATATCTGTGGGTCGTGTTCATCACTGCTGGCACAATGGGGTAAGTTTGACCTCTGACTTGTCTAACTGGAAAGCAGCGTCCCATGGCTCCTAGAGCTGCCGACATCCTTGGAAGCAACACTGACCCCTTTGCTGCCTTCTCATTGACCTCTGGAGATGTGGAAATCGTGGCCAGAGGTCTTGTTTACTTACAGCACTTCAAAAGGCTGCCCGGGCCTTCCATGCTGTTGGGATGGAGTTTGTCCTTCACAGACCTCAGGGAGGCTAGGAAATGTTTAGAGTCTTTTGTAGCTCTGCCTGGGACAGTGCGGGGTCGGAGGAAGTGCACAGGGCTGGGAATCAGGAAGTCTAGGTCCTGGTCTTGGTTCCACTGCTGATCTTTAGATGACAGGTGCATCACTTAACTGCTCTGAGCCTCAGTTTCCTCATCTGTAAATGAAGATGAGAGTGGCCTGTCTTGTATAGTTGTTGCAAGGAGTGAGAGAGAAGTAAGTGTGAAAGCAGCACGAAGTGTGGTACAGATATAAGAAATTAGAGTTGGAATTTTCTGGACCTGTTGTATGAGAAAGCACAGGAAACGGCACACTTTCCACAGGGGTCTCTGCTTAGCTTCACATTCCAGTTATTTTCCTGTGGGCACTATATGAATGTATGTGTGAGAGAGGAAGACAGACAGAGACAGACAGACACTCAGTCTTTCTCAGCTGGTGACTCTCCAGAGGGAAAAAGGAGGACTCTCAGATCCTCCTTCCAGGTCCCAGAGAGCATGGAGAGGCTGTTCAGTGTCCAGGGACTTCCCACTCCCAGCACAGGGCCTGGGGACCCATGACACAGAATTTCTCAGCTGAGGACTGAACACTGCAGGCATCCCCCATTCCCTTCTGCCAATTGATGGCTGGACATAGAAGGCATCCCCCATTCCCTGTCTGTAATTGATGGCTGGACATAGAAGAAGCAGGAGACCCCCAGGGGCTCCTGAGCATGAAGCCTACATATGAACTTCTTGAGCTGTGGGGGCCTCTCTTTCCTTGGTATGGCCACCTGAGGGATGGCCTGATTATTCAAAGGCCTGGAATGTCTTGATGACCAGAAACAAAACAGGAAAAGGAATTCTAAGGGAGGAGGTGGGCTCCTTATCCTTCTTGCTCTCGAATTTCTCCATCACCTTGTTTCTGTGATCTGGTCTTCAGCTTCTTCATGACTGGCTACCTCCCGCTGGGATTTGAGTTTGCCGTGGAGCTGACATACCCAGAATCAGAAGGCATGTCGTCTGGCCTCCTGAATGTGTCTGCCCAGGTAGGGTTCTTGTTTGGTGGTGGCCCCAAAGCAGTGGCTCTTTGTTTCCTACTTGACTTGGCTGCCACAGGCATTGTATGGTAGCTCAGTTCTCTCATGGGCTAGTTGGCCGGGCCCTGTTCTCAGTCTTCTATGTGCCTTTCCAGGTATTCGGGATCATCTTCACCATCTCCCAGGGCCAGATTATTGACAACTATGGAACCATGCCTGGGAACATCTTTCTCTGTGTTTTCCTCACCCTTGGGGCGGCCCTCACTGGTGAGTTGGGGCCTCAAGACAAGATGATGCTCACTCAGGCTGCTCGTGGGCTTAGGCTGTTGGCAATTTGAGACTTCAGTGTTTTGACGGATCATACAGATTGGGGGTACACGTGCAGATGGGCAGAGGGGAAGGAAATGTGTTTGAGAAGCAGGAGCATGGTTTGGTGGAATGAGCCTGGGATTTGGCGCCAAAAGACCCTTTTTTGCATCCCAGACTGTGACACTGACCTCCATAGCTGTTTGACCTTGGACAAGTGGACCAACTTCTGGAAGGCTCAGTTTCTTAATCTATAAAATGGGAGTTGTTGTAAGGATTGGAGCAACATGTGCAAACTCCCTGGCCAGTATAACTGATCTATAAATGAAAGCCAGTGTCATCCTTGGCTTCTGCCTGTAGGGACATCAGTGATCCCCAGGCTTTGTCAAGTTGGTGGGTAGAACCTCCATCTCCCTGGAATATCTACAGTAGGTCTGAGATACCTGTGACCCTTAGGAAAATGAGGGCTCCCTCTCTTGGGTGAACTTCATCATTGGTCTCTTATTAATTGTGTCTTTGTTGTTCTTTCTCAATCTCTTGATCTCAGCATTCATTAGGGCAGATCTTCGGAGGCAGAAAGCAAACAACGAAACTCCTGAGAATGTGAGTATGTGGAAGCTTTGAGAGGTGGGTCCCAGGCTTTGTTTGAGGATGTGGCAGCATGGGTGGGCCTGGGGGTGGGGGGGTGCTCCCAGAGTGGACTGGTTCTCTGGAGGCCGTGAGACCAGCTCAACTCGCATAAACATGGCACCCAAGAGTTTCCTGGGTGGGTGTTCAGCATGGCTTTTGTGTCTGCTCTTTCCCGGACTCTTCTGCTTCCTTCCCTTCTCCTGGCCTCCCTGCTGTGGTCCCCAGAGCACGTCACTGTTGTCACAGTCTGCTGAGCATCGCCCACTCCTTGGATCCTGAGACAAGTCCTGAGACCCTGGCTGCACTGCTTTCAGCCTGGGGTCAGTGGCTGGAGAGGAAAGGTGGGAGCCTACCTCGACCATGGTGGTGGTGCCCCCGAGGCAGTGGTTCTCCTGGCGTGTTACAGCCCCTTAGGCAGTGCCATGGGGATGGAGGGACTGGCGCCCGTGCATTTCCAGTAAGGCTCTAAAAGGGCAAGTCAGGGAGTAGGAGCTTATGGTGGCAGAAGGGGGAGGACTAGGAGTATGATTTAGAACAGAAAAGAGTTTCCCATCTGCTTTAATCAGCTAGGGACTATTCTAACCAAAATGTTAGGTATCAAATCTAAGCCAGGATGAAAGCAATTTCAAATCTGAGGAGGAAAAGTGGGATATTACTTAAAAAACAAATAAGCCACCCAGAACCTATTACAGAGGGAATACATGTTCTTTGTAGGAAAGCTAAAATACAGAAAAGTATACAAAATTTAAAAATCGTCCTGTAATATCATCACCTAGAGATGAAATGCTGTTTGTTTTTGCAATTACTTACATGTCTATATCTACATATAATATGTATATACATATATCTGTATATATTTATACATGGATATGTAAATATTTTTAAAACAAAAATGGAATCTTCTATCTGCTTTTTTACTTGTGAACACCTTATCAGGTCATTTTTCTTTTACAACATACTTCTAATTACAACACAGTGTTTTAATGAGTGCACATGGGTAAACCATGATTTAACAGTCTTGCTGTCTGTGGACATTAAGGTTGTTCTCAATCATTGTTACAAATATATCATGATTAATGTCCTGGAAGCTGAATCTCTGTGCATATTCTCAAGCACAGTATTTCCTTGAGAAACGGATCAGTGGTCATGCATATTTTGGAGATCTTGATATGTATTGCCAAACTGTTGTCGAAAAAGGAACACCAACACTATGAATTTATATTGCTATAGCTCTGTAGGAGAGCCAACACTGAGGCTTTATCATTTTGGAAAACTTTGCCAATTTTCTAAGGCAAAAATGGTATGTGAAAGAGTTATATTTAGTATTGTAAGGACATATGTTGGCAGATGGATGATAAGCTGTCATTGATTATTTGTCTTCTGGTCTCACACTCTGGAATTGGCAGGCTGCAGCAGGTAGCATGTGGAGGGCGGAGCCTTCCACAGGAAACTAAGTGGGGAGACACGAAAGGCAGCAGAAATGCTGTTCTCTAGACTGGTGTGAGGACCCTGGCGTTACCACCATGAGGATGGGCTTTCACTTGGGCCAGATACAAGGAGACATAAGGGTTTGGAATATATAGCGAGCCTGGGAAAAAGATGCCTATAATAAAACAGGAGAGATTTCTCGTGAGAAGGTTTCAATTTAGAATGTGACACATTGTATCAAGTGATAGGAGATTTTGCTGTTTACTTTGTCATCTGTGTTTATGTTGGCAGATACAGGCAAACGGGAAGAAAGAAAAGGTCACCTATAATCCTAGCACCTGGAGATAACCTAGTAACATTGTAGTCCATCGTTCAGGGTGGTTTTCTGTGGGTCTCCTGGTGCAGGTGGGGTTCCTAGCCTGCTTGTTTACTTCACAGTTACATTCTACCACTTCATATCTACATATATGTATTTCCATTTCCTCTTGTTTAATATTTAGGTGGTTCCAATATTTCACTGTTCTTGCAGCCGTATCTTGGTGCACAGGGACCAGGTTTGTTAATTGAGGTTGGAGTTGTTGGCTCAGTCATCTTCTGTATGGAGTATTGGAAATAGCACTGAGTAGGAGTAGGAGACAAATCCGGGGATGGTACTCCAAAGTCTGTGTCCCTGGATGACTCACCATGTGTCTTTGAACCTCACTCGCACCTGGGGAAGCTTCTGGTTATGGGAAGGTCAGAATCATGGTGGGCTCACACCCAGGGAAGCCAGGGCTGTCACAGAGCTTCCCTCCTCTGGAGCCCACCATTACATGCCCCATGGCAGTCAGCATAATTGAGACCTGGCCATGGGCACAGAAAGTCATTATCAGAGCCAGCTGAGGACAGGGTGCCCAACAGATGTGGCCAGAGCTGCTCTTTCTAATCAGTGAGATACACAGTTCTGGTAAAAAAAAAAAAAAAAAAAAAAAAGAGAGAGAGAGAAAGACAGAATGTCTAGCTTGGGGCTAATGACTAATCTAGATGATGAAAATCTTGGTTTGGGGGTTTCCGTTTTTCTTCCAGTTGGTAGTTCTCGGCCAGAGACAGTGGATGTACTTCTGTCCCCACTAATCTGTTTCTGGCTGTGATTTCCAAGCGCTGGCTTTGGAGGGAGCAGGCGTGTGTGGGCGGGCACGTGTGTGTGAACGAGAGGAGAGAGGCTGCTTGATTGACTTCAGCAGGCTGCTGGTGGCCTGAATGAAAGCTACTCATGGCTGAGGCTGAGCTGGTGGCAACAAACTGGCAAGAGAATGGGCAGGTTGGGTTTCTACAGCTGTTACCACTGCTGCGGACCAGCCCCGACACAGTCCCTGGGGGGGGCGGCGGGGGGGGAGAAGCACCATTTGTCCAGTTGGCACTGGGCCTGTAGACATTCTTCTAGCTCTCGAGTGGTGATGGCGCAGTGCTGTGCCCGTGCCAAGGCCTTCCCGCCAGTAGGTACGTGCTTGAGGTAAGAAGCATGGCACGGGGGCGCCTGGGTGGCTCAGTCGTTAAGCGTCTGCCTTCAGCTCAGGTCATGGTCCCAGGGTCCTGGGATCGAGCCTCGCATCGGGCTCCCTGCTCGGTGGGAAGCCTGCTTCTCCCTCTCCCACTCCCCCTGCTTGTGTTCCCTCTCTCGCTGTCTCTCTCTGTCAAATAAATAAATAAAATCTTTAAAAAAAAAAAAGAAGCATGGCACGGCATACACCTAGGGCCCCACAGGATCGTTTCCAGGCCCGTGCTTAATTCCAGCCCCACCTACACAAGCGTGAGCCCGAGGACTCTTCTAATCCTGGGCCATCTTTCCCCCACAAAGTCAAACAGACTGACCCAAAGTCGTCTTCTCTAGGCATTAAGTATATATACATACTTTTAGCCATTGAGTTTATGTCCTGCCTTTATAAAAATTCTCTCTGCTGCCTCCATTCCCTGCACATCGTTATCATATTCCTCATCCAGGCGGCTGCCTCCAGAGGCAGGTAGTCAGACTTTCTGTGGGCGTTGTGGAGTTGGCACTTCGGATGGCACCTGGTGGTCATCCGGGGCAGTTTCAGGCCGCCCGAATGGGGAGGGAGAGTGGGCTCTGCTGCTCTCCCGTCCCGAGGGGCTCGCGGGGCGGGATGGTTCGTGGCGGCTGTGGCGTCACAGGGAGCTGGACTTTCTGGCTTCTCTTCGGTGACACGGTGAGGGTGTGTGCGGTGTGTGTGTGCGTTTAGAGAGCACGCTGGCAGAGGCGGGAGCTGCTGTCCTGCTGCCCTTTGTCTGCTCTTGGGCTGCTGAGGGGCCTCCGGCTCTTGGTTTCCCCGCCGCCTGCGGTCCCCGACGGGCAGCTGTCCCAGCCCCGGGTGGAGCCCCGTGCCTCTTCACCGCAAGGGCTGCCTGCTTGTTGTGCCTTGCAGAAACTCCAGGGGGAGGAGGAGGAGGAGGAGAGCAACACCAGCAAAGCGGCCACCACTGTGTCCGAGGAGCATCTCTGAGAGAAAAGGTGGTGGCCAGCGCTCCCCACCTCTTCGGTCAGCCCTCGCTGCCGGCACGCGGGTCTTCGCCGGAGCAGCTTTTGGAGGGAACCGGCTGGGATGTCTGTGGCTTGGACGGCAGTGCCTCTGCCTCCTGGAACCCTCTCAGGAGCTGGCCTGGTCTAGCGGGGGAAGATGGCACCTTTCGCCGAACGCACGCTCGATACCCGCCCCCTCCCCCCGGCAGGCTGAGGGAGCTGGTGTTGGGAGAGACTGGTGGAGAATGGGGGTGCCTGGCCGTCCCCCTTCACCTGCATCCCGCAAGGAGGGAGCCTGCAAAATGATCACGGAGAGAAAGCTTATTCAGGATATTAACTTTTTCTAGAATGGCAAGACCCCTGGAAGCCCAGTTCTACGGAGAGGCAGCTGCTCTGGGTGAGGGTAATTTGGGGCTCATCACACTGCCTGCTAATGTTCTGGGGGAGAGAGAGCGCCATCAGGAAACATCAGAACAGACCCATCAGGACTCGGCCTCGCTTCTCCTGCCCTAAGCTTGGGGTCTGTTTCCAGACCCTTTCCTGAGAGCTGATCAAACCAAACATCAATAAACTTGACAGAAACTTTGCCGTGGCCGTGAAGGAGAAGCCTGTTGGGGAGGGTGACGTGCCTAGGTGTGGGAGGGCACTGGTGAAGGCCTGAATTTGGGAACTGTGGTAGCTTGATTTGGGGACAGGAAGGTTCTTTCCTACAAAATCTCTGCCCAGGACTTCTGTGTGTGTGTCGTCATCTCTGATGCCTTCACGTGGACCCTGCCTTGAGAAGCTCTGCCATCCTCCTCAGCGCTTCCTTTCTCTGAAGGGAGGGAAATCCCAGCCAACTTCCTGTAACCTTTACTGAAAACTAACCTTGTTTCATTCCACCCTGAGAAATCCACACTGCTTCTGAGAGAGGAGAGGAAAGGGGCAGAAGGAAAGGTGGCCCTTGAAATGGGCATTGAGTCTGCTTGAATTAAGTGCCTCCTGCTTCTGGAGGGGATCGTATTCGCACACCCACCCCTCCTCCCCATCCCCTTCCAGCAATCTTTTAACAGATATTGTGAATTTAAAGGGATTCCCTTTAAACCAACCCAGGGTGACCTCCTTGCCTGCCCAGCCTGCTGTTTGGCCCTACCCACGGGCTGGGGTAGTATCCCCTGAAAATAAGACGTTTTAGTAATTTCTCCTGCATTGAGCAGCTGTGATCATGACCATGGTGCTGTTTGGCTGTGACCACTGCCCGGTCTCGGCGTCCAGGGGCAGCCTGGGTTGGCAGGGGGGCCAGGGTGCCTGGGCCATTGCCCGAGGGGAGCTGGGTGTGTTTGTGTGTGTGTGTGTGTGCGTGTGTGTGTGTACAGACATTCCAGATGTTCTGTATGTAAGAGAAGTTCACACCTCTGCTGGGGGGAGTGATGGGGGGTGGAAGAGAGGTGGAGAGAAAGCAGGTCTTGCTTTTTGATAAGGAGAAAGGTGTTCACTCTTCAGCTCCTTAAAACTTTTTAACAAAATGTTTACCAGATTATTCATTCCTTTATTTTAAAAGCATAATTTGTATTTTCTACCTGTAATACCGGATGTCTTAAGACAATAAAAGATTCTCCAAGTGGTCTGCCGTGTCATTAGGTGGGGCAGAGGTGTCTTTCGGCAGTCCCGAGATTCTCACTCATTTCTGGGGCCTGGGCCGGCGGTGCGGGAGGGGCCTGCTGCAGAGGCGGGTCCTCTGTTTACACAGATGTGACCCTCCCCGTGGGCTGCTTTTTAAAGACAAGGCTGTAAAGGTGAACGTGGGCCTGTGCGGGGCCTTGCACCTCACCGTCCCGCCCGTGACCCTGCCTGCCTGCCTTTCGGGCTGTGTACGCATGCAGACAGTCCACCCCGGGTGGCCGCCCGGAGCCCGCTGTGGTTGCTGGCTCGGCCTCACAGTGCGGCTGGCCTGTTTGTTCTATGACTGCACCATCCTGCCCTGGCCATAGTCCATGCTTTCGGCCTCTGCCGTTCTGAGTGGCCATTTTTCTTCGGACTGTCCCACCTACTGCCACTTCTCCCTTCCCAGGCATGTTTGCCTTATGCTGTGGCTTGGACTTGCTGCTGCTGTCAGTTTTCTGTACGTTTCTTTCTTAGTAAAATGCACGGTGCCTATGGCGTTGTGGCCCCATTATCTGTTAGTTCTCAGCTGAAGAGAGACTTGACGAGTTCTACTTTAAATCATCTCGAATGGGAGCCAAGCCTGGCTGTTAGAGAATGATAATATTCATGATGTGTTCTATTCTAAACCATCTCTTTAGATCCTTTGGGTCTTGTCTTTGCTTATCTGGAATTACATTTCTATGACGCATGCTTAGAGGATCCAAATCCAAACCATGCATGCTTTCATTCACTTTCTAAGGTGGGCTCCATGTGGATCTACACTCACATGCTAACTCTCTAAGATCACTGTTTTTCTTACTATCTCTTGACAATAGTTGGTGAGTGAGGGATAGTCCGTACCACTGAGCTATTTTTCTAGATGTACTGTTGTGGGGATGAGGCTTGGTATCGCTGCAACCACTTTTGGCATCATAAAAGGAATCCAGCCTGAGGATGAAGCCAACATAGGAGGGCAGGGTTGAGTCCTGATCAAATCATTCTTGAAGACTATAATCTCCTTAATCTTCAGTTTTGTGAGCCAATATTATCTTTATTGTTTAAGCTAGTTTAAGATGACTTTGTTCCTTTCACCTAAAGAGTCTTAACTGATAAATTCCTAATGCATTTAAGTATCCTCAACTTCAAGCTTCCTGTCATGCCCTTGCAAGTCCCCTGCCTCCCTTCCTGACCTCTCTCTTACCTTTTGCTTCCTGACTTTATTACACAGATCTTACCCCTTGAACAAGATGGTTCCTACCTTCCAGATGCTGCTCCCTCTGCCCTAAATGCCTGCCTCATGTATGAAGACATCTGATACCTGGGCATTCAAGGCTCAGCTCAGATCCCATCTCCTCAGGGAAGCCTTTCCTGACAATCTAAATCATCTACCCCCTACCTTCTTGATCACAATACCTTGGTTTCTAGAGTTCATATTGTCTGAAGTTGTTATTTCATGTGTTGCTTTGTTGATTGTCCGTTTCCTTGACTACAGTGTAAGGGCCGCTGGGAACAGGGGCATTGCGTGGGTCATCATTTCTCTTTCCCAAGTGTCTGGCATGGACTTAAGCGTTCAATAAATACCTTGTTGAACAACGAATGGGTTCTTGAGTCTATATGCTGTGTGTGGGCCCAGCCAGTGATGAGCCCATCAGGGTTGTGTCTGGAGGGCAACTATCGGCTCCAGTCCATTATCTTGGGGTTTCACGTTCTTTCCATGGTCAGGCAGCTGTTTCTCCTGCGCTGTTTTCTGTCTCTGCTTTCTCAAGAATCTGTTTCTTCCTTAGGAAGAAAACAAGAAAGGGTCCTGACTGTTCAGTTGTGAACTCAGAATCTTGAAGGTGGGGAAGGCGAGACAGATTGGACTTCAGGAGAAATGAACAAGTAGTCAGAGGGGCTGGAGGCAGCTAGGTGTGCCTGGGGTCCTTGAGCTATTCTACTCATTACGGTGTATTTGATCAGCAAAAAGCTGTGATTCTCCTATGCAATGGCTCGGAGGGGGCAGGAGTGCTCTTGGCTTAGGGGAGGTCAAAGTACAAGGACTGATCCAAGCAGAGGGTTTTTCTATTTATTACAAAATTCGTTACACAAATACAGCTGACCAGAAGGTCTAAAAACAGCCCAGACTCTTCCAACCCTGATCCACTTGTAGACACAAGTATATGAGCCATGCTTACTCACAGGGGAGCCCTTCTTAGAAGGACTGCCTGTTCATCGGATGGTTCAGAGTCTTGGGTCCAGCAGCAGAGAGGAGCCCAACCTGGGAGGGCAGCCTCCTGAAGCAGCCCTTGGGGGCAGCTGCTCTGGGTGACACAGCAGCTGTAAGTTTCATAGTTCACGTGTTCCCACCACACAAGTCAGGGGAAGGGATAAAAAATAAAAGGGAAAAAGCAGAAGGCTGGAAAAGGGATCCTGGAAGAGGCTGTAGGTGGGGGAAGGGCACACAATGGGTTTCTGAGGTGCTGGAAATTTCTTGATCTGGGTGAAGGTACAGAATATTCAGTCATTTAAAATGATTCTTTCAATTGTACGTACACATTTTATATACTTTTCTGTATGAAGGTTATATCTTAAAAATTTTTAAATGTAAGAAAAACCCCAAACCTAAAAGGCTAGCAGTGGTAAGGGGGCTCAGGATGGTACAGAAAAGAAGAAATAAAAGAGGAGGGAGGATGAAGGAAGGGGACGGCAAAGGTGGAAGACGAAGCCTCGGAGGTGGTAATGCCAGCTTCAGTTTCTCTTCTTCTGTCTGGATACTGGTTCTGCTTCTAGGTACCGGAGCCCAGCTAGCATACCCAGGATTGAGAAACCTTAAATAAGAGAAAAGAGAGGTGGCTGACATGGGCACAGCACTTTCTGACTCTCGTATGTCTGCTCTCCTGCCCCCAGCCCTAGGGTGCAGTTCCCATGGGAGCCTGGGGCGGGGTCAGATGCTTACTTGCCACCATCAGGGGAGCCAGGACGCCAATCGTGGGAGCTGCGGTCCCAAAGACAAACAACTCGGAAAGGAAGTGCCCCAGGGCGAGGAGGAAGGTCCAGAGTGTGATGTGGTACAGCCTACAAGGGAGCAGACAGAAGTGGGAACTGGAGGCCTGCCCGTTCAGTGCAGGGGACAAGCAGCAGTGAGATTCTAAACACACACACACACACACACGAATCCAAACCCAGTAAGTGACTACGGCTAAAGGAAGAGAGACTTGGGCCCGAGAAAGACCTGTCTGCTTGATGACACCAATTTACCCTCTACTAGGGCAAAACCAAAGGTTTCAACTGCTAGACTGAGGGGAGAATGGTCTCAGCATCCATGGTGGGTCTCCAAGTCGTAGCAAGGTGGTGAAGCCAGCCACAGTGAAGCAGAGTCTGGTTTATGGCACGCCTAGCAGTATAGACAGTTGGGGATCAATGGTGCTTACAGATTCTACGTAATCAAATCGGCTTGGCTCTGTAGTCCAAGCCCACCTGACAGGTGTTGGGCCAGGGGCTGGTCAACGCTCATAGGATGGATGCCACAAAATGAAGGGCCTGAACGCAGCGTGAGCAGCGAGGACCTCTCTGGGGCTTTTAGATGCTCTTGCCACATGGGCTGTTATTTTGTGTCTTAGCCTAGGAACATGATCAGGTGGAGGACACAGTGATAACCTCATGGGAAGAGAACGTGTTCCTCAGTTTTGATGAAGAGGTGGAGAGGAGATAGGTTATAGGATGACTGACCACTTGGATTGGAGATTTATTTTTTTTAACTATGAAATTTTTTTTTTAAATTTATTTATTTGAGACAGAGAGATACAGAAAGAGAGAGAGAGTAGGAGCAGTGGGGAGAGGCAGAGGGAGAGGGAGAAGCAGACTCCCCGCTGAGCAGGAAGCCTGATGCGGGGCTCGATCCCAGGACCTGGAGATCATGACCTGAGCCGAAGGCAGACGCTTAACGACTGAGCCACCCAGGCGCCCCTTAACTATGAAATTTTAAAAATTCTGAAATATTTCAAACGTACAAAAAATTGTTGATGATAGAATACTATAATTAAGCTGTATGCAGCCAATGCCCTGCTCCATCCAATCTGGATGTTTTGACATTTTTGCTTCAGATACTTTTTTTTTTTTAACTAACTAATTAATTATTTTTAATAATTTTTTTTTTAAATTTACTTGACAAAGAGAGAGACAGTGAGAGAGGGAACACAAGCGGGGGGAGTGGGAAAGGGAGAAGCAGGCTTCCTGCTGAGCAGGGAGCCCGATGTGGGGCTTGATCCCAGCACCCTGGGATCATAACCTGAGCCAAAGGTAGACGCTTAACAACTGAGCCATACAGTCGCCCCCAGATACTTTTTTTCTAAGAAATAAGATATTACAGATATCAGTTAAAGCATTCTATGTAGCCTTATCCCACCCAGATCCCATTCCCCTGCTCCCTGCTCCCCAGAAGGAACTGATATGTTAAATTTGATTTTTATCATTCCTGTGCATGTTTTTATACATTTAGTAAATATGTATGTTTGGGTGTTGACTTTGAATTTCTGGTTAGAAAGGAAATAGAATCAGAGTGTATATCAGAAGAGCACTGACCAAAGTCCCAGGTTAAAAAAGGCTAGAAACAGAAGTCCGCATTTGTGGCTTCCTGTGTTGGGAGAAGGGGAAATGAATGGGTGATAATGAGATAAGTCTCATTCCAAAAGCACAGCAAATGAAAGCTATACCTCTTATACCTATCAGCAATTTGTCATGGTAATGGTCTTTAAAAGGATTATTTAATTCTTACTCCCTCCCAGTCAGCCATACTAGTCTCATTTTATACCTAAAGAGACCAAGAGGCAGAGAAGGTAAACAGCTGATCCTTGAACAACATGGGTTTAAACAGCATGGGTCCACTTATATGTGGATTTTTAAAGATAAATTGCAGTACACTACTGTAAATGCATTTCTCTTCCTTATGATTTTCTTAATAACATTTTCTTTTCTCTAGCTTACTTTATTGTAAGAATACAGTACCTAACACATACAATGTACAAAATATGTCTTAATTGACTTATCAGTAAGCCTTCTGGGCAGTAGTAGGTCATTAGTAGCTAAATTTTGGGGGAGTCAAAAGTTATACACAGATTTTCAACTGTGGGGAGCCGGCGCCCCCAACCCCCATGTTGTTCAAGGGTCAACCGTATAATGAACTTGCAGCTACAAAAATAGTTCCTAATAGAACTGAAACAAGAAACCATTTTCTTGTTTTCATTCTTGGGCCCCAGGCTGTTTCCACTAAACCATACTGCTTCCCAAAATACGTGTCAATGTAGAACGAGTCAAACCATAGTTTCAAGTTCAAAAAAAGTTTAAAAAGTTGGAGAGATCACAGGGTTAATAGCCCTGCTTCAAATCCCACTTGAGTCAGTCTTCCTTAGTTCAAATTAATTGGGTCTCAAACATGTAGATCTGCAAACTCGGGAATGAAAGTCATTACCTTCCAGGGCTGCTAGGATTAATCAAGGTCATGCAGGTGAAAGCTCCTGGCATAATCAGAGGTGCTCAGTAAATATCA